CCTCTTACTAGTCGCCAACCTGTCGACGCCGACGAGTCTTCCGACAATGACGATGATGATGATGATGACGCCGACGATGCCGACAACGCCTACAATGCCGACGCCGACAACACTGACAACACCACTGTCGGAGATGACGGTAACAACAAAGACGACAACATCGACTTCCACCCCACGCCAGGTGGTGGGGATGGCGGTGGAGGTGGTGGCGGAGGAGGCGGCGGAGCAGACGCTGGAAGAAGAAGATGACGTCGGGATGACGAGCAGCTCACTCGCATTATTGCTGTGATGGTAGAAGCTGTCATGCGCAACCAGCCCCCGAACGACGGTTCCTCCAAGGTCAAGGAGCCTGACACTTTCGATGGCTCCAATCCGAACAGGCTCCGCACCTTCCTGTTCCAACTCGAGGTCAATTTCTGTGATTGTCCAACCAAGTTCACCTCCCATTCCCGCCGTGTCAATTACGCCATATCGTACCTCACCGGGGCCGCTCTCGATTGGTTCGAACCATACTTCACCGATCCTGTCCCCGGTTACACTCTGTTTTGGGCGGCCAACTACGACCGTTTCCGAGCGGAGCTGGAGATGAATTTTGATCCTTTCCGACTGGAGGAAGACGCGGAGGCACGACTCAAAGACCTCTCCATGTCGGAGAACCAGCACATCACCAAGTACAACATCCTGTTTAACCGCTATGCCATGATGGCAAAGTGGAACGAACCTGCACTGGCCCGCCACTACTACAATGGCCTTCCGATGCGTCTCAAGATTGCGTTGAACAACCTCCCTTCTGGTCGTCCGAAGACGCTCACCGATCTCCGCATTCAGGCAATGTTGCTGGACGCGAACCACTGGGAGTTCCAGGCGGAGTTGAAGCAGGAGAAGCACCATGCTCCTGCTACTACCAAGCCTTCGTCTACTCCGTCTTCCGCTCCCAAGTCTAACAGCAGTTCCTCCAACTCGTTCAGCAACAATAAGCCCTCAAACTCTTCTGCTCCGAAATCCGCCAACAAGTCTGTGCCTTGCTCCGCTTCCTCCGCTCAGAAGACGTACACCGACAAGCTCGGAGTGAACGGCAAGCTCAAGGATGAGGAGCGCAAGAGACGTCTCAACAACAAGCTCTGCCTCTTCTGCGGAGGAGCGAACCACGTCCTCAAGGATTGCCGCAAACACGAGTCCGCCATGCAGCTATGAACACCACAACTGGCAAGTCCGACGCACCGGCAGTGTCGAGCTCGTCAAAATAAGCGGCGACCCTCTCATCTCCACACAGGATAAGGGTCGCCCCAACTCTAGCCGTGCACCTTCCAAAATCTGACTTTATGCCAACTCTATGCCTTCCCCTGACTTGCTTACTATCTATGCCACCACTCCTGCTATAGACAAACCGTTTTGTATGCTTGTAGACTCAGGTTCCTCACACTGCTTTATCGATTCCGCTTTTGTGCGGCGTTATAACCTAAAAACCGAAAACATTCCGCCCATCCGTCTCCGACTTTTTGACGGCTCTAGTAACTCAACAATTACCTCCGCCATCGATCTAGAAGTTCGTCTACCGTCTGGAGACTCTTTCAACTCTCGCTTCTTTGTTACTCCGCTGGACTCAACGGTCTCCGCTGTATTGGGACATGACTGGCTCACTGGCTTCAATCCGTCGATTGATTGGGTTTCGGGTCATCTCCTTCTCCGATCGCCTCCGACCACAGTACCAGCACCTCTGGTCTCAGCACTCCCTGACGAGGGCAGCACTACTCCGACACCTCCGCCTACCGACTCCGCCTCAAGTGACAAACCAGCAATTGCGTTGGTCAACGCCAAAGCGTTTGTCCGCGCATGCCGTCAAGAAGGCGCGACTTCTTTCTGACTTAGCCTGGCTACCACCGACATTTATGGCCGTGGAGCGACCACCTCCGATGCAATCGACCCCTCTATACCTGAGGAGTATTGTGAATTCGCGGACATTTTCAGCAAAGTCCGCTCGGAGACGCTCACTCCGCACCGGCCGTACGACCTCAAGATCAACCTTCTTGAAGGTACCTCTCCACCGCTAGGACCGATCTACTCGCTATTGCAACCGGAGCTGAAGGCTCTCCACAAGTTTATCGACGAAAACCTGCGATTTGGCTTCATCTGACCTTCCAACTCTGCACACGGTGCTCCGGTCCTTTTTGTCAAGAAGAAGGATGGCTCTCTCCGCCTGTGCGTCAATTTCCATGGCCTTAACCGCATCACGAAGAAGGATCGATACCCACTTCCACTCATCTCCGACCTTCTCGACGCCCCTCGAAAAGGCACGTCTCTACACCAAGATCGATCTCCGACACGCATACCACCTGGTCTGCATCGCCAACGGAGACGAATGGAAGACGGCTTTCTGGAACCGCTATGGCTCCTTTGAGTGGCGTGTCATGCCATTTGGCCTTTCCAACGCGCCGGCCGTGTTTCAGCGATTTATGAACAATATTTTCTCCGACCTACTGGACATGTGTGTTATTGTTTATCTTGATGATATTCTCATCTACTCCGATGATCCTTTGCAGCACCAGGAACAGGTCCGCGAAGTCCTCCGACGTCTTCCAAAACATGGCCTTTATGCTCGCGCCGACAAGTGTCTTTTTGGCGTGGACACCGTGGAGTACCTTGGCTATATTCTCTCTCCGTCTGGTCTCACTATGGACAAGGAGAAGGTCTGCGCGATCCGCGAATGGCCAGAACTCTGCAAGGTCAAAGACGTCCAATTCTTCCTCGGCTTCGCCAATTTCTACTGCCGATTTATCTATAATTACTCCGACATCGTTGTTCCGCTTACGCGTCTCACTCGCAAGGATACACCTTTCCTTTTCTCCGACGAATGCCGACATGCCTTTAATCGTCTGAAGGAGGCCTTTACCTCCACTCCGATTCTTACTCACTGGGAACCTGACCGACAACTCATCGTCGAGACCAATGCCTCCGACTATGCTATCGCCGGTATCCTCTCCATTGTCTGTGCCGACGACGAAGTCCGACCAGTCACTTTTCACTCCCACACATTAAACACGTCGGAGCTGAACTACGACACGCATGACAAGGAGCTCTTGGCAATATTCGAGTCTTTCCACACCTGGCGACACTATCTCGAAGGCTCAGGAACACCCATCGACGTGATTACTGACCATAAGAACCTGGAGTACTTTGCTACGACTAAACTCTTGATCCGCCGGCAAGCCCGCTGGTCGGAGTTCCTCTCCGCTTTTAATCTCGTCATTCGTTTCCGACCGGGTCGACTCGGCGAGAAGCCCAACTCCCTTACTAGACGCTGGGACGTCTACCCAAAAGAGGGGGATAGTGGCTACACTCATGTCAACCCGCACAACTACCGTCCCATCTTCACCTCCAAACAACTCTCTGCTTCTCTCCGCGCGACATATCTACTCACTCCGTCTCTGCATGTCGGAGCTGATGGACATGCAGTCCCTACACGACGACATTCACGCAGCCATCTCGACTGACCCAACTGCTAAGGAGTACGCCAATCCCGCTCCTGACTCTCGCTGGTCTTGGTCCAACAGATTCTTGCTCCTCGATGGCCGCATATACGTCCCGGACACAAACGATCTCCGACTACGTGTACTCCGCTATAAGCACGATCATCTGACCTCCGGTCATTTCGGACAGAACAAGACACTCGAGCTCGTCAGGTGCGAGTACGTATGGCTCAACATTTGCACCTTCGTCAAGGACTTCTGCGCCTCTTGCGTGACCTGCAAGCGGGGCAAATCAGTGCGACGCAAGCCGTATGGTCTCCTCCGACAGCTTCTGATCCCTGAACGACCCTGGTCTGCCATTTTGATGGACTTCATCAAGCAGCTACCCTCCTCCGATGGATGTACCGCCATTTTGGTGGTCGTTGACCGCCTCTCCAAGCAAGCGATCTTTATTCCGACCACCGATACCATCACCTCCGCCGAACTTGCCAAGCTGTTCGTCATGCACGTCTTTTCAAAACACGGAGTACCCCAACACGTCACCTCCGACCAAGGTTCGGAATTTGTCTCGCACTTTTTCTGCTCTTTAGGACAGGTACTGGACATGCGACTTCACTTCACCTCCAGATATTGCCCCGTAGGTAATGGACAGACAGAACACATCAATCAGACCCTGGAGCAGTATCTCCGAATGTACTGCAATTACCAGCAGGACAACTGGGCCAAACTCTTACCCCTCGCTGAGTTTGCCTATAATAATGCTCCAAACGAGTCTACCGGCGTCTCTCCATTCTTCGCTAACAAGGGTTACCATCCCTCCATCACAGTTCATCCCAAGCGCGACGTCAGCTCCAAACAAGCCTGACAATATGCGGTCGACCTCGACGACCTCCACCGCGAACTCCGCTCTCGTCTTGCGGAGGCGCAACATTGGTATCAAGGTCCCGCCGACAAGCGCCGACTACCAGCTCCGGACTTCAAAGTCGGAGCTCAAGCGTTTGTGAAAGCTCAGCTCTTCCGCACTAGACGTCCCTCAAAAAAGCTGTCTGACAAGGACCTTGGCCCTTTCGATATTATATCTCAGGCTGGCCCTTCCTCATTCGTCCTCCGACTTCCCAATTCCATGCGATCTGTACATCCGGTCTTCCACGTCTCTCAGCTCGAGCCTGCTCATCCAAATACCATTCCAAACCGCGTACAGTCTCTGCCGCCGCCGATCGAAATCGACAGAGAACTCGAGTACAAAATTGCCGAAATCTTAGACTCAAAGCTAGACAAGTGCTACCGACGATGTCCGCTATTCTACGAGGTTCGCTGGCTCGGATATGAAGGCACCTCCAACGAGAAATCGTGGATTCAAGTGTCGGAGCTGACCCACTCTCCGGATCTCATTGCAGCTTTCCACGCTCGCTACCCCAACAAACCAGGACCGAAGTATTGATTGCATATACGCCCCGCCTTTTTCGGCATGGGGCTTACCGGGCACGGGGCTTGCCTACAGGGGACTCGAACGACTATACTATCCTATACCACCTACTCCTCCGACTCTTTGCCTTCTTCTTCTTCTTCGGCCTCGCCCTCCTCCGACTCTGATCTGCCCTGCCTCGACGACCCCTCCACGAACTCCGCCACCTGACTCGTGAGGGCCTCCACCTGCCGCCGCAGGTTGGCCAGCTCGTCCTGGACCCACTCCTCCGATCCACCGACAATCCACTCGATTTCGTCCAGGAGGTATGAGTGGTCGTTGGACTGCTCCCCCTGGCACAAGGCCTGCTGCACCTCCATCACCTCCGACCACAAGTTATCTTCATTGTGGCAGGGACGGGTGGTCCGAGACTCTTGACGGCGCGGAATGACGGCGCTGGCTGTCGGAGCACGTGGAGCGGCACTAGCGGTCGGGGCACACGGTGCGGCGTTTGCAAATGAACACAGCTTCTTGCTGCGCGCACAGCTGCAGCAGGCCGTGGCCTTGCCTCGGGCGATGGGCAGCTGGCACCCCTTCTTCGCCACTTTGCACTGGACGCACGGTGTATTCACCTCCGGCTACAAGATTGTCAACTCCGACTTCGGTATTCTCGGAGACGACTCACCTGCCACATATCGTCTTCATCGACGACCGAGGCCGGCTCATCGTGCTTAGCCCGCTTCACAGGGGCCAGGTCTGGGAGCGACAGCTCCGTCTGACCGTGACAACACTAGAAATTGCCAAAAATCAGTTTACAACTCCACTTCTGACCGCGTACTGGATACGCACCTTGCTTGACGCGGCGGAGACCTTGCTGTGGACCTCCGTGTTGGAGCACATCTTGCTCCGCAATACCGCTCCCGCTGCATGAACTGGCGGCACTACCACCTCCACACGACTACTCCACGCGGCCTCCGACGCTCGACCCTTCCCTTTCCCCTTACCACCTCTCTTCGGACGCTTTGGCATCTCCTGCTCCTCCACCGGCAACTCCATCGGCTCGTCTTGGGGCGACGCGACACTCGCCGACGCTGCTTCCGTTGGATTTGCGTCCTCGAGGGTGTGGAGACGGGCTCGCAAGTCGGCACGCTCTTTGGAGACCAAGCGAGTGACTGGCTGACTAGCGGGGATCTTCTTTCTGAGGGCGGGGAGGCATAGCAGATGAAGGCAAGAGACGAAATTCGAGTCATCAAGTCTGATCACTTATCCAGATCGATCACCTCGAGGGCTCAGCGGCTAAGAGGGAGATACTGTCACGTGTCGATCCAGACCGACCTACGCCAATCCGCTCCGCCGATCGTCACCGATCTGCACCGATCTTCTCCGATCCGCTCTCCGACTCGTCGCCAACTTCTTTGCCGACGCCGATCCCACCTTTCCCATTTTGGTCGAGGGCGGGATACACCTATCACATGCACTGGGCCACCGGCGGCTCAACACCTCGGTGGTTTCAGATCTTGAATGGATTCAACTCCGACTTTCCTGATTCCTGTTCCCTTTGTCTGACATCATAGTTTCCCTCTGTAGACTTTAGTTTCCCGTCGCTTGCGACGGATCCCTTGGTCCGTTCTTTCCGCCTCTTCCTTAGATATGTTCCCTTTGTGCCCCATGTGTTATCTCTCGTCTCTGATATGTTTCCTTTGTGCGCCAAATGGCACCTCCAATCTAAGTGAATGCCCGTTACAAAGGTAGAATGCAAGCTTATTTATATGCATGTGAGTGACCAACCATATGTACAGGTCAGTCCGAACTGTCAACTACAACCATATGTACATGTCAGTCCAAATTGTCAACTGGCGAGAACGGAATCTTGACAAGTCAGCCCACCACACTCCAAGATGTCTGCAAGCTGAGTGTTATTCCGCTGCAAGGCACCCCCTACATCGTCACCCCATTCCACTAACAGCAAAGCAGGCTACCTGTCACGCTGTAGCAACCTGGGAGCAAGGGAATGGAGCTGTTAGTCAAAGTCTGAGGAATCTAGGCTCCATCCCTGCTCCTTAAATACATCTAGCTATGATGGAAGCTATGGTAACAAGTAAAAAAAGGGAGACAGGGAAGCTATGGAGATAGGGATCAGGCATGTGGAGATGGACAGTTGGAATCAGTGATCCAAGCAACCAACTGACTGTTGGACTAGTTGCATCAGTGGGGCAGACAACCAACTAATGTGAACAGATGGAAGAAGTGTAGCCAGGAGACCAGGATTGAAGGATGTTCAGAACAGCCAGAAAAGCGGTGACCAATGGGAATGATGGATGGTAACAATCCCAGACTGATCCATGGCCAGCTTCAACATACACAGTGCATCATTCCGCTCCCCAGCACCCCACTTCAACACATGAACCGTTCCCGCCGGTTCAGTACCTCCCCGATGCTTCCTCCTACAATGTCTGCAGCACTCAGGACACCATTGCCATGAGCAACTTTTGGTGTCTACATTGATAAGGCTTGCCCTGACTTGATTCTACGCTATCCTTGTTGTCTCTGGCCTCCATGGTTGCCCTACACTGTTACCTACCTGCCTACAGCTTCTACACCACGGCCTATGTCCTTCAGCACCTCCACCAGCACCCAGAAGGTCACCCCCTGGGGGAGAACAACTAGACCCTCAGACAACACTGGGGCCGTGGCATGGAGAGATAAGGCTGCGGCAGCAGCAGGAGCCATCTATAGGGCACTGGAGCCAGGTCAGAGGGTGCATGTGGTAGGGATTGAGATGGATCTGGTGAAGATGTGGTTGAAGCTAGCTGAGGTCCACATCCAGAAGGTGTCTGGTGCGCGTTTCAACACCCTGGACGCCCTCATCTCAGTTAGGGAGGGTGCTGACGAGTCCCTCCCTCCCGTCCCTCATTGCTCGAGTCAACTTCCTGCAAGAACTCAAGGCCCTTCATCCCAAACACTATTGTTGTCTAAGGGTATCTAGCAGCTGGACAACACTCGAGAATGAGCTGGAGAGCACAGACAGTGAGCAGGATGAAGTGCCCAACTCGTCTGTAGATCTCCAGTAAAACTGTCACCACAGCCTACAAGCTAAAGCGGCCACAGCCATGCGAAATAAGTGCCAGAGAGCTGGCAAGTCACCACAGACAACAACTATAGCATCACTGATCTCAACAATGACCTTGCTGCCATGTCCATGCTCCGATCCCTGGGCCCAGAATATGCTGAGTTTGCCTCCTCCCTTGTCCGCTTCGACCCCAGCTGCTCTGATGTCGTTCAGGCCTTCATCCGTGAACATAACCACCACCCGCCGTGTACCGGAGCCACCAACAATGCTGCCTATCATGCTCAGGCTGCTCCCGGCTCCTCCATTGCCTAGGACGTCCTCTGCAACTTCTGCGGCTACAAGGGTCACTCCGAGGCCACCTGCCATCTCTGCCAGGGATGTCGCACACAAGGAGATCACGGACCACAAGTCAGGATGTAGCATGCCATGCTTTCAGACCGCCATGGCCGCCTCTGAGGCCCCGGAGGCCCCTGGCTCTCCCCAGACCACTGGACAGGCTGTCCATGTCGAGTTGGCTGGCAATGCAAGCTGGCCTCAATGCCGTCTACGCCAGTGCATCCTTGAAATTCTCAACACCTACAGCTTCAGCACCTGCAGCCCGGTGAAGACTCCTATGAATCCCAACCTCTGCTTGTCGACCTCCATGGCTCCCAGCACTCCTGACGACGTTGCTTACATGCAGGACAAGCCCTACGTCGGCACTGTAGATGCCCTGCTCTACCTGGCAATCTGCACTCACCTGGACATATCATACTCCTGGCTATGTGTCTTGTCCCACCCAAGGATATGCTTCCTCAGTGCCTGGGTGCACATGAGGTGGAAGGAAAGGTTCCAGCACTGCCCATGATCATAGCCGTTGCAAGGACAAACACACCCTTTGATGCAGTGGCCGTTGCAAGGACAAACACTCCCTTTGATGCAGTGGCAAGCAACCAAACAGGTGGCCTGGCTATCACTCAGGATCACCAGGCAGAGGCTGAGCTTTTTGGCCATAACACATTCCTCTCCAGTGCATGCGTGGAGCTGATCTTCACTCCACCAGGAGGTGGGAGGTGGGTGCTTATTTACCACCACAGGCATGGGAGGGCAAGGTGCAACTGGGGGGCCTTCTTTCTGGACCTCATCTTCTTCTGCCCTGAGGTTGGGGCTCGTTTACAAGGCCATTGTGCCACTACATAGCTCTGGGAGCTGAGGTCATCATCCCCATACTGGAGAGCTCTTTTCTCTATAGCTTCTTTGCTAAGTAGGAAGCCAATAGTGTTAGGTGTTAGAAAGCTGGACAGTGAGGGAGGGAAGAGATTATACCGGAGTCTACACCCATCATAAAGTCTTCTCCCTGGGAGTCCTCTCCCTCATCATCATTGGAAGAGCCGTGGTAGGCATAGGCATAGCTCTTCCTAGCTCCTGACCATACTGGTCACACCGGTCTATCATACCCCACACTGCTCAGGAAGGAAAGAGGAGGAGATGATGAGGAGAGAGAGAGAGGAATAGGCATGCAGATGGAACGCTCACCTGAGGTGGGGGCTAGTGTAAGGGGCTGCTTCACCATATCCGAGTTGGTCTGGACCACACCATGGTCTGCTGCCTCAGGATGGGCATGCTGAGAGGAGGCCAGGGACATCTTCACGATCTTTTTCTTCTTCTTTGTTGGTGTTTGATCAGCACCGTCTTGTTCATCATCCGCAGGAGAAACATCTGACTCCTGGCCAGGATCCTAGCCAGAGACGCAAGAGGCCAGGCATACAAGGTCAGCATCTTCAAATGGGTGGTAAGCAGAGGATTAGATACGACAGGCTGTGATTTACTGGAATCCATGTCCTGGAATTTGTTTTCCACTGCTGGGGGACCCAACAGCAGGCTGGCAAGCTTTTTGGCTAAGTGCAAGCTTCCTTGAAGGGACTCTATCCCTGGAAAAGGTTTGAAGGAGAAAATGAGGGAAAAGAAACAAAAGAGGGGCTTTTTCCACGTACCAAGTTAGGGTTCAACATCTTGAGCCAAAAATGGCCAGGAAAGGGGATCCACAGCATCTGCTTCTTCACCAGCCTCATAACGCCTAAAATAGGTAGGGGAGATGCAAAGAACAGGTAGGGGAGATGAGAAGAACTGATAGGGGGGAGGAAACAATCAGGGATGAGGCTCTTTGAGGGTGGCCCTCCCTGAGGTGGTGATGCCTTCTGGAGGATCTTCCCCAGAGTCTGCTGGGGGGGGAATAGGGCAGCCCTCCACCCTCTGCACTCAACTCGGCCACTGCCGGCTGCTCCTCAATCTGTCTTTCCCGGCCGCAAGTCACCCGTGCGAGCCCATCCTACCTGTTGTCATGCTCATCGAGCACCTAAACCACTGGCACTGGCACCTGTGCGACCCATCGTTACACATGCCACGTTCATCATATGCCATGATTTCAGCCTCTGTGCCTACCCCAGCAAAGCCCCTCAAGGACCTCCCCAAGGACCACCCTACCTCCTCTGTCATCCTCCCAGGAGCAACAACGGTGATGGGGCCCATTTGTCTGCAACCTTGTGCACCTCAACACTGCAGATCACCGTGATGATGGCCTGAAAACCACAATGGAGCACGAGAAGGCATGCTACCTCACGGTGACAATGATGGTGCTGGAATCGGTGCTGACCTGAAAATGCAGTGTAATGCAGAAGGTGTGTCGACACACTGCTATGGGGCTAGGTGGACGTTGCAGGGACTGGCCCCTGTCCTACAATAGTGACAATAGTGTACTTCTGTATCCAGTATGAGAAATGATATGGCGTTGTCTGCATACAGCTGGCGGTGTGGAGCGGAGTGGTATCGATGAATATAGGGTGAATCCACGATGTCTGCCTATATGATTCACAGCTGGTGACTAGCTGTATACTCACACCTGTACCAGTTGGAATGGCACCATACTGTGGGGATTGGCAGATAACTCTGTGAATCAGCTTGACAACGAATGTACTCCATGCGGGGGCGGCAGGTATCCCCCATATCGTGTTCAGCTGGCTATCATGTCAGGCCAAAATGGCAGTGTACCCACTGACAGTCACACCCTTCCTTAACCATCAGTTTTGGTCTGCCATGTGTGGAATGAATATCGGAGGAACCTGCACAAGCGCGTATGGACCGTATGACTCATATACCTCTAAAATGTGATTGTGAAGCGAGCACCGAGCGAAGCTCGGTGCGCCGTCTTGGGGAGAGGGAGCACGTATTGTAGCACCGCGTCAATGTATATCTTCCCACACTTCTCCTTTCCGTAGCCTCACCACGAGAGTGGCCAGGGCATACCTGCATCCCAGTACATACTGCCGAAACACCACACTCGCTTTATAATATGCCTCCTTGGGTCCCCAACGACGAAGTTTTCGAAAGGCCCCATTATCGGCTCAATCGGAAGGAGCTCGTGGAGCTAGCCCACGCCTTGGGCTTGGACGGGCAAGGGACCATCACCGAGCTGAAGGCTTGCACGAAACAGGCCCTACGGTCCTGCATCGACCAACTCATCAATCACCCCGTCTTCACCAACCTGTGCACCGCGAGGGAGAAGACCGACTACGAGCAGGAGCGAGGCCAAGAAGAAGAAGAGGAGGACCCGTGGCAGGGCATAGAGGAGGCGCCCAGAGACGCCGAATCATGGCCAGGGTCAGACTCTTTGTCGTCTCAGTCGTCCGGCCACACATCCCCATCCCCCTCGCCGGTGCCAAGGCTGACCGGAAGGATCTTGACACAACACCCAGGACCACCTCGGAACGCGGCACCTCAATGCCCTCCAGCATCCTCAGGTGAGTCACCTCACTATGGCGAAGAGCCGACCATACCGTTTCGAGGTCTCTTCCGTGCATATCATCGTGCAGGGAGGGCCAGTGCTGGGGGGGGCTGGTTCTTCAGCCCCGCCTTTTCTTGCTACGGGGGAAGCCAAAGGCTCGAATCGCATTGCTAGTACTACGGGAGGGCCTGCCCTTCTTGCAACCCCAGGAGGGGACACACGCCCCCCCCCCCTTCTTCCCTTCTTCCTTATCATACCAGAAGTGCTTGCTATACGGGGCAGTTAGCTCATTGCTTGTCAGGCCGGGACAGTGCCAGTGGCACGGGACATTCGTTAGAACCCCGTCGAACACCTTCAGCTGGTCTCAGCATGCGCCACCGCACTCTGTCCCCTCTCTCAGAGTTCAACGAGACGGAACCTGTTTCTTGCGTGTCACGTTCCCTGAGACCCCACAAGGGCAGGCGGGCAAGACCCTCACTGTATCTGAGCCTCTCGATTCAAGCACCGCTGAAAGGGCACCCTGCACGCGAGCCTGGGGTGCTAGCCGACCTCAACTATTATGTGATCCCGCCTCAAATTGTAGAGATCTTCGAGAAGGGGTACAGGAAGCACGTTCCTCTCCACCACCTCACCGACGCGGCATGCGCAGCTCAGGGCATTGACACCATGGCGAACTTGACGAACTTGTGGCGAGTGGAGGCCGGCAGCCTTGTTCCCATCCAGCAGTCGCTCTCCGCGGAAGGGGAACTACGCCTCTCCTTCGCTGAATGGCTACAGGCGTGGCAACGCTTTCTCCAGCTTATCGAAGACTACCTCACTTCCGAATACGAAGACCGGCACACCCATCACAATTTCATCAGGTGTCGCCCAGGAGCGAGCAGCGACAGCCGTTGGCCAGTATGGCTGAGTTACGATATCGAGATAAGACGCTGTCGCCTCCGCACACCCATTGATCCTCGCGAGTTCCACAGGGCGATTTGGGACGACCTGTACATTGCGCACCTGGGCCAAAAGGTCACACAGATTACGCCGCAACAAGCCTAGCTGGACTTAGCTCACAGGAGACGGGATTCGAGCTCCACCTCCAGCGGAGCCAAGCCTCCCCATTCATCTTCCACGTCCAGACGTGCGCACCCATATCCCGCTTTGCAACCTAGTCACTCCTTTCGCATCTGCTTCTTGTGCGGCAGGGACAACCACTGGACGAAAGTGTGCTATGCAAAGTCACTCGTCAACGGCAGCCCCGTCTACATCACAAAGTCGGCAGACAGGGGATACCGCGATTCTTCCAGATGCTGTTTCTGTTTCCATTTCAACATGCAATGGGGATGCTCCGCCTCCGGCACATGCGCGCAGGGGGAACATTTGTGCTCCCTCTGCGGAGACGCAACCCACTCCGCCCACTACTGCACCATCATGGAGGCTTCCTGTGGTAACGCCATTCCAGGCAAGTGAGTGGGAGAAGTGCCTCGCCTCTCTCAACCTGTTCCATAGATTTGCGGACATTCCTTTAGGCATTCGAGAGGGTTTTGACATGGGAGTTCCCTCGCTCGTACATACTACCTACACACCACCTAATCACAAGTCGGCTACCTCTAATGTGAAGGCGATTGATGCCTATATTTTGAAAGAACGCGCAGCAAATCGGTACACCAGCCCCTTCGACAAACTGAGGCTAGAGGCCCTATGTCAAGATCGGATACAGACAAGGGGTAACGGGGTTCGGAGGACCGAAGTCCGAAACGTATATACGTAGAATAGAATGAAATAGAAGGGGGGAACTCAAGAGTGAAGTCGGAGCAGAGTCGGAGACGCGTTGGAGACGCGTCGGCGTGAAGTCGATAAGCCGGAAGTGTTGGTGGAGTCGAGATCGGATGCGGACCAAGCCTAAGCTCGTGCGCTAGGCTGCTACGCGCTCTGAGTCCGCAGGAGGAATAGAGTGAAGCTTAGTCGATATTCGAACTGACTATCTACGGTACAGTTCGACGGTTTATATGTACCAAAGAGAACAATGGCAAAGTCGGAGAGTCGGAGATCGGAGGCGCCGTTCGGCGCACAAAGGGAACATTCGGAGACGAGAGATATCGCATGGAACACAAAGGGAACATGTCTACAGAAGAGGCGGAAAGATCGGACCGAAAGATCCATCGCAAGCGACGGGAAACTAAAGTCTACAAAGGGAAGCTATGATGTCAGACAAAGGGAACAGGAAACAGGAAAATCGGAGTTGAATCCGTTCAAGATCTGGAACCACCGGGGTGTTGAGCCGCCAGTGGCCCGGTGCATGTGATAGGCGTATCCCGCCTTCGACCGAAACGGGAAAGTCGGGATCAGCGTCGGTGAAGGAGTCGGTGAAGGGTCGGAGATCGGATCGGAGAAGATCGGTATAGATCGGTGACGATCGGCGGAGCGGGTCGGTGTAGGTCGGTCTGGATCGACACGTGACACCCTAATCGGACCGTTCTGGACCTCGCCGCTAGGCGCTGTCCCAAAAGCCGGCTCGGATGAAATGCGAATGATACAAGATTTTTCTTTCCCTCGCAACGACCCGTCCAACCAGTCCGTCAACGCCGGCATCAACACCGATGCCTTCCCGTGCGAATGGGGGACCTTTTCCGAGATGGCTCTACTCGTTATGGACGTGCCGCCGGGAGCCCAAGTTGCCACTCTGGATGTCAACTCTGCATTCAGGTGTATACCGATTCGCCCAGACCTAGAGCCACATTTCGTGGTCCACTGGAACGACACCTTCTGGATCGACTCATGTGCGCCTTTCGGACCGGCAAGCTCTCCAGGCGTCTGGGGCAGAGTCACCAACTGCATGGCGGCAATCTATTCTGCACAGGGAGTCTCGGCCGTCAAGAAATGGGTAGATGACTTTGCCTTTCTTCGTCTCCCCGCTAGTCGATCCCCAACGGGCACCGCAACCTATTTATATGACCTAGAAGATCTTTACACCCTCGCGGATCGCCTCAGCTGGCCTTGGAAGCGATCCAAGACACGGGACTTTGTGGCCGTCTTTCACTATCTCAGCTTTGAGTGGGACCTGGACGTGAAATGGGTCTCTATCCCGCTCGACAAACGTACACGCTACGTCGCCAAGATTGCACCCTGGGCCCCAGGCTCCAAGTTCACCCAACGCAAGGCCGAGCAGGTCCTGGGGACGTTGGTCCACTGCAGCCTAGCCATCCCCGATAGACGCTTGCACTTGGTCGCGATCTCAAAGTTCGTCGTGTCCTTCTCACCGACAGGTTCCCCGTTTGCGAAACGTGCACCGAACTTGGCCGTGTTCGAGGACATTGCATATTGGAAGGAGGCGCTCTCTTCAGGCCCATTCGGCAGCCCGTTGCAACCTCCACTGGAGATGATCGACCGCGATTTTTGGGTCGACGCGTCGACATCTTGGGGGGTCGGAGTGGTCCTCGACGGCGAGTGGGACGCGTGGAGATTTGCCGAGGGCTGGCGGTCGGAGGTACGCAGCATTGGCTGGGCTGAAATGATCGCCATCGAGTTTGGATTAAGGTGGGCGGTACTGAAGGGGCTGAACGGCCTACACCTGAAGGTCCGCTCTGACAACCAAGGGGTCATCGGGGCCTTAGAGGCCGGCTGCTCTCAGAACCTGGAACACAACCGAGTCCTTCAGCGCATTGTGACCCTCATGCGGGTCCACTCAATCTGGATCACTCCAGTGTACGTCCCTTCTGCCGAGAACAGAGCAGACCCGCCCTCCTGAGGCGTCCCTCTCCAAGGCTTACCGCGTTACTCAAAGACGTTTAAGATCCCGTACTGCATATCCCCCTTAATCGCTAGACCTGATACCCTGTAACTTGCAATAAGATGAGATCAGTCTGGTCACATGCACGGCCCGTTACGTAAGGGCAGCAAAAGCTGGAAACCTTCCATCCTTCCAACATCCACACTCCTTTACATTACACTGTTTTACGTTACAACGCGCAGCGACGCTAGACGTCGGCTAACATTTAACTAATATAAAATGAGCAGAAGGCCGCGAGACTCCTTTCTTCCCCCCTGCTTTGAACCCCATGTCAAAATCCGGTGCACGCTGTGGATAACAAAAGATTCATCAATGCTAACGTCAGTCAAGACCAGCGCGTCATCGATGAGATGTGCGCACAACGAGACTCGGTCTCAGACACCGAGAGGATTGTTAAAGTCGAGTTCAAGCGTTCGATCTCCTACGAAGATGGGAGTCAAGCAGCTCAGTACCGAGGTGGGCGAATTGTTCCGCCCAAGCGTGTACCTGGGGTGACACAATTTTGATCAGCCTACACGTCGTGGAATCAGACACACACCATAATTGAAGGACATACCAGGAGGGGGGACCTCCAGGGGTGCCATCACTGGACGGAAGGGACTCAACCACAGCGGTTATCCGGGGATTGTGTCTGCAGCAGGTTCAGTCGGGACACAGCCCCCCCAGAACTCCCTCGCCAGAAGACTCACCCACTGGCAAAATGGTGGAACTGGGTCTGCGAGAGACTTTCAGGCAGGCGATCGAACAAGTAGAGTAGCCAGAACTGTAGCTGCTCGACTTAACCGGCAATCCGGGTTTACAGTGCAGAAATTCATGTCACGTGCACCGTCCACTTGCGAGCACCCAGGTGCACCCAAGTCGCTGGGACGTCTACAAGACGGTTGCAATGACAAGCCACGGTCTTACCTACTCGTCTCCATCGGCTTTCATTCAACCACGCCGACGGCAACACCGGCAACACCACTCCTCCAATGCTGCGCAGAGAGCCCAGAATCCGCCGCGCCGGCAGCCCCCCCAAGGGCAACTCGACCTCTAGCCCGCGCGTGCCAAAAGACGCGATCCAGCGGCCCTTCAAAGTATCACCGACATCACACAGGTTCTCCTTGTTGGCACGATCGGTAGGTCGGCTGAACAAGGCTATTCGGGCGAGCTGGGCGCCGGGAACGCTCAAGGGCTATAGCAGCGCGGTGAACCGTTACCTCCAGTTCTGCAAACTAGAATGCATCCCCCGCGAAGACAGGTTCCCCGCGCCGGAGGTGGTGCTTTGCGCATTCGCCGCTAGGGCAGTCGGGCAGCTGGCAGGCGGGATGGCGAGGAGCTGGATGGCCGGCCTCAAAGCTTGGCACACCGCGCACGACGCCCCCTGGCTCAGGGGCAAGAGACTTCAGCAAGTCCTCAAAGGTGTGAAGAACTTGAGGCCCCACGATTCGCACAAGCCGCTGAGGAAACCGATCACACGCGACATGCTACGCCAACTACACAAGAAGCTCAGATTCAACTCACCCCTCGATGCCGCAGTTTTTGCAGCAGCGTGCTGCATGTTCTGGGGCCAATTCCGTGCGGGTGAGCTCCTCCCGAACTCCCAGACAGCGTTCCAAGACCGTCTCCCAAAATGCTCAGATTTCCACAAACCCACAAAGGCCTCGGCATCCTACTCCATCGCTCTCCCCTCGTTGAAAACTCGCTATGCGAAAGGGGAGATGGTGTTTCTACACCGGCAGAGGGGCTCGATGGACCCGACTGACGCGCTGGCGTACCACCTTCATAAGAGCGACCTACCTTCGAACTCGGCCCTCTTCACGTTCCAAACCCGAAGGGGACCCACACTCCTCACCAGATCGGTTTTCTTAGCGCGTTGCAACGCGATTTGGTCCCCTCTTCGCCACTCAAGAGTGACCAGGCACTGCTTCCGCATCGGAGGCACAACGGAATTGTTACTCGCCGGGGTTCCACCGCACGTGGTCAAGAAGGCCGGGAGGTGGTCGTCGGACACGTTCCTGCGTTATTGGCGCACCGTGGAAGACATACTCCCCCAACACGTGCAACGTGTTCGCAACGTAAAACGCTCCTGTACACCCTCGTAGGCATACCGCCTGGTCGTTGTGGGCTCAACCTTGGTACCCGTCGGCTGGGGGGCGGTTTTGGGCGAGCCTCTGGGCCTGCCTTCGGTTTGCGCCCAGAGGGGCGGCCCCTTGGGGGCCGCTTCCTTTCACCCAAAAGAGAGGAAAGGCCCACGGTAAGAAACCAGATCCTTTGAACTGCACGAAACAACAAGATGGCAGGGTGTGAGTGTCATCCCTGTTACTTGCTGAGGGTTTCACTACTGGCAGCCATTACTTTTTGATGGGGGAACACATATCTCACCTGCAGAGTACTGTGTCTTTCCAAACCTGTAGAAATCGCTTCCGCTGTCAGTGAATGAAAGTGTCCGCTGCTGACACTGATGACATAGGGCAGGAGTTCATAGCCAAGCATGGGCCGGCGGCATGGGAATTTGACACACAGGCACATAACCAGTGTGGCTCCACTACCACAGACTCACACACACTGTTACTACCAACCCCTATCGACATGCAACCCAACTCTGCCAACACCTCTGCAGAGCTGCCAATGGGTCAGCATGGTGATTGACCACCACTCATAGTTTACTGAACTAACTCAGGGTATTCATGGCTGCTGGGCATTCATCGCCCCAGATAGTGCAGTGCAAGCTCCCACACAAATGCTCTCTCCAGGGACCTGGAAGATGCAAGGGTTGGAAGTTACTACAAGAGACTGGAACGGTCTTGTGCTATATATAGTGGATGGGCAGATGTGTTGGGCAGTGTATGGGGAAGGTTCACGGTCCTATTGCAATGGGATGCTGATTTGCAGTCTACGCAGTAGAACAGAAGACTCGGTGCTTTCACAGTGTTTGCTAGTACCCCTGTGGCTTTCCAGAGGAGACAGAAGTTATAATCCCCTTACATGCAACCAATCTGCGGTTCTGGCAGCGGTTGTGGATGGAGGACCATTGACACTATAGAGGAGGAAGGCTTGGGGACAGCCTAGAGTAGGCAGACTGTAATACCTGCCCTGCAAATTGGGAAGAAAATGCTAGGCGCTTCTTTTAGGGACAGACCCTCAAAGGATAGGGAGGGACCCTCAGGGAACAGGGAGCACCCTTAAAGAAGGGGGAGAACCAGAAAATAGAAGGTACACCCTAGAAATTTGGGGTAACCACCCTAGTTTATGGCAATACAGAATAATAGGGTGGTACCCTGTTCCTTTCAAGGGTGCAATCCTCCTCTGAATTTGAAATTAGTAGCAGTATATAAAGAGGCTGTCCCCCTTGCCCAACTGTATGAACCAGACCCCCCACTGAATCACAGATCTCTCCAGCACCAACCGACCGAAGACAACCTGACCGAAAACAATTTACAGGTCAATATCACTCACTGGTGATTGTATACCCTCTTAATATGCCCACAGATGATTGTCAAGGTCCTCCTTGATCACAAGCAGAGTAGCTCTTGGAGGCGGTTTATAGTAAATTGCTTGCAATTGCCAAAAATGGCCTGGCCCAAAGGTTTTCAAGATGCCATGGGTTGGCACGCAGCCCGTTTGGCTGCATGGTTGTTAGTTTTTTTGTTTTTTTTGAGTCATTGTTTATTGTCCAGTGTGGGTGAACCGTATGGTAGACATTAAACTGCGCTGTCCGTATCTATGACTGTATGCAATCTTGTCCGAATAGTCCGATCTGAACCACTGCATCTGCGAGGTGTCGGAGTGACTCTTTGCATAGCTAGGGCGCCTTGCTTGGGTGGTGTGAGCTGGGGTGTATAGTGTCCAAGCGATGGTAATCTTCTGGTCCGTCGGTCCCTTCGTCCCGCCTCGCTGAAGTATGTCGTGTATCTGGTAGAGCAGGTAGTGAGCGTCTCTTGGCTTCTGGTTCGTGGTGTTCTGGATTGTAGAAGTGTTGTCGGTGCCGATGGTTGCCTCGAGTACTTGCGTCGCCATCTTCTCTAGCAAATGTACCGCCATGACTTTGCCTACTAGCTCTGCCTCTGCAATGCCATATTCTGTTGCTTTGCCTAGGTGATATCGCAATACGACCAGCGGTTTATTGTCATGAAACATTACCGCTGCTGCCCCTACTTTTCTGTCGATTTTGGAGCTGTCAGTATAGATATGTGTCCAGTCTTCATTCCTTTCCGCCTGAGCCTTTGCTTCTTCTTTTGATTAGTTGCAAACGTTGGGGTGTAGCTTGGTCCTTTACATACTGCCGAATATCTTCTCCATAGTCCTCGGTTTGATGCCATATGCCTGGAAGAGTTCGTGAAGAGGGCCACAGTGTCTTTTTATGTACCTTCCTGCTACCTTTTTCGCCGCCCCTGCCAGGGGGTTCGTGTCCAGGAGGGTTGCGATCCTTAGCGTGCATCTCTGTAATTGTTGGTGGATTGCAATATCGAGTGGCAGGAGCCCTGCGTGCGCGTTGACTACGTCGGTGGGTGTCATCCTCAATGCTCCCGTTGCGTGTAACACCACCTGTCTCTGGACTGTGACCATCTTGCCAAGAAAACGTTGTGTCGAGCATTTTGATATCTTCGGGGGCTTGATCCAGACATCGGCGCCATAGAGCATCCTTGGCATGGCGATAGAAGTGTAGTACTGTCGAAGGAAGCGGTGTCAAACTCCTGTCGCATTCCGAGCTAGTCGCCTGAAATGTTGCATGTAGTCGGTTCCTTTCTTGAGGGAGTATGCTGTGTGTTTGTGAAAGCGTAGCTCCTGATCAATTATAATGCCTAGCCACTTGTCTGATTGTGCCATTTCAACTTCTATGCCGTTGAGGTCGAGCTTGGGCCTCGGTATCGGTTTCGTCCTACCAGTTCTTTGCTCGTCGGGTTTGCGCCTCCTGGTGAGTCCGAGGCATTGCATCTTGTCCAAACCGAATATGCAGTTCGTCCGGATGCTCCAATCCATCGCCCTGCCCTCTCGTACCATGAAGCTTTCCGCCTTTCCTGCCGCTTCCTCCAGGTCGTCTCCGATTGTCAAGAGGCCGACATCATCCGCGAAGCCTATCGCCTCTTCCCCGTCTTCTCTGTCTGGTGAGTCGTGGAGCAGATCGTCGATGTAGAAAATCATTCCTGTCGTCAAGAATGGGTCTCCTTGATCTAGACCGTCTTCGATCGTAATTTCTTCAGATTGATAGTCGTTGAACGCTAGTCTGGTCTTCCGTCCCTTGAAGCACCATTGGATCCAGTCGGTGTATTCTTTGGGTATGCCTTTCATGTGCATCTTGTGAACTAGCACGCTGACCATGATGTGAGGGAACACAGCTTTGATATCTAGAAGTAGTAAAGCGCAGCACTTCCCTTTACGCCATGCATCCTTGATCTTCGCAATCCCATAATGGATCGTGTCCATAGTTGCTCGTCCAGGTCTGAAGCCGAATTGGGTGGGCGCTAGGAGGTGGTGCTTCTCCGTCTGGTAAAGTAGCTTGTCAGAGAGGCATTTCAAGAATAGCATTGCTATCTTCTTGATGAGTGATATAGGGCGATGGCTTCCGGGCTTGGTGTAATCTCCTTTCCCCGGTTTTCGAAGTACTATGATTGCGATAAACTTCCATTGTTCTGGCCAGTATTTCAGCGTGTGTACCACTCTGAAGAGTGGTCCTAGTCTAGGTATGAGGGCGTCAGTGCAGTTTATGAGGATAGCGTTAGAGAACTCATCAGTGTCGGGGGCCTTGTGTGGCTGCAGCTTCGCTATGGTGCTCCTGATTCTTTCATCCGTAATAGGTGCGAACTCGAATGCCGGTCTTGGATATTCGTCCTCGTGGTCCTTGCCGTTGATCTGTATGTGGCCTGGAGCTGTTGGAAAGAATTCCCGTTTGAAGAGAGCGGTCTTCTCTGTGTTTGTGGTCGCTTTGATCTCTTTGCCATTCTCTCCCTTCGTGATGAGTTCTGGTACATGCACCCTGGAGGCATCTGTGGAGGGGCTGCTGATGTATGCGCTAGTCTTTGACATATTGTTGTCTCTCACCACGTCTAGCCACTTCGCCCAACATTGGTCTTTCGTGAGCTTGATGCTATTTGTGTACCAATTTCTTGCTCTCCAGAACTCCTCGTGGACGGGGTGTCCCCTGTTGTTGCGCTTGTCGTATGACTTCTTGCCAAGGTGTTGTGCCGTCTTCCCTTCAGGTCCTTCGTCCACCAGCGCTTGGTGTACGGTGTGGGCTTCTGTCTGTCAACGTGTTTGTCTGTTGTGTCATGTATCGCGTGGTTGAGGGTGTCCAAGAGTTTGTCGAATTCGTCTCTGGATCGTATGTCTTCTGGGTGCGGCGTGTTCTCCAGTTTCTCGCGGAGCGTGTCTCTATACTCCGTCCAATCAGTCTTTGACCAGTTGAGGCGGCGTACCGGTTCTTTGTATTCCAGTGAGAGTTTGAGTCAGCACACGATTGGGAAGTGGTCGGTCTTTGGTGGGTGTCTCTCCGGTTTTGTCATACATGCCACGAGACGATCCATGATGCTGTTCAAAATGAAAATGTTATCCGGCCGCGTATGGTTACCTGTTGTCGTTGCCTCCAGTGTCGGGGTGCCATGTGGGAGAGCCATTTTGAGATTGTAAGTCGCCACCATGTCGATGAGGGTTTGCGCCATCGTGATGTTGCACCTTGTGAAGAGGTGGTGATTTCGTTCTTTGTCCCAAAGTGGTGAATGTCGGTTGAAATCTCCCGCCCATACGAAGTGGGTAGGCTGTCTTTTCTGAATCCCCTCTCGTTGTGCTTCTTTCGTCTTGCGTCCTAATTCAAAGAGAGCATCTGAGTGAGTCTGATCAAGGTAAACATTAAAGATAAAGAGGTCGCCGTGTCTATCTGATATCTTGACGGCCATAATGTCCGGCGATTCGACTTCAACTTGGGTCCATGCGTCTGGCGATACGCTCGTGCTAACAACCATGAAGGCCCGGGTATCCTGTGGTCGTTTCCGGTGCGTCGTGGGGTATATTGAGTTCCAGGTGTGGTTTGCTCATGAGTTGCCTCGAGTATCGATGTACAGTTCCTGTGCAAGTCCGATCGTGTGTTTCTGCCTTCCTAGCGTTATGAGCCAGTCCTGCTGAGCGTCATTCGAGTGGCATAGATTTTGCAAACAAAAACTCAGCTCTTCGATGCTTGTGGTCCGCCCTCCATGGTTATTGGTGTTCATAGAATTGTATCCTATCCTGAAGCAATGATTGGGTCCTCGCGTAGCTCTCCTGTTGTTTGGCAACCGAATCTGTGGTCGTTGAGTGTTGTCTGGGTCTCAAATTGAGTCGCCTGCGGGTTGGTCTGCATATCGTCCGGGATCTTGTCTAAAGGGGCTCCGAGCCAGCCGTAGCCGGTACCCCATCTATGGTCGGCAGGAGGTTGTTGGAATCGCTTCCTAACTGGTACGGTGGTCCAGTCGTTCTCCTTCTGTCGCCGTGTTTGTTCCCAGGTGTCGGGGTTGTCCATCACGAAGTACTTGCATGCGTTTTCTGGGAATCATTCGTTGACCTCGCGATTCTTCTCCTTCAGGGTTGGGCAGTCACAGCTCCAAGCGGCGTGTCCTGCCTGCCTACAATTTACACAGTAATGTTTCTCGTGCTTATCTTTGTACTCACATTTGGCGGTTGCGTACGAGATGCTGCCGCACGTTCCACAAGTGTTGTGAATTTCTCGGCATTGGGCTGCGAAGTGGCACCCAAACCTTTGACATCTATTGCACCTAGTGGCCTCCTTCGTCAGTCTCCTTACATTGCAGCTCTTACCTCGGATTGTTATCCCCCATCTAATTGCATCATTGGCGATCTTTTCCGTACGGAGGGTGGCTGCTACATGCGCGCTGGTCTGGCCGGGTCTCCTCCTCTCTGGTGCTTTGATCCATCTTGCCCGCAGGAAGTTATGGTCGTCCCATCCATTGATCCTCACCACCGTCATTCAATCTTCTTCTTCTTCTGGGTGGAAGTATAGCGGCGCGTTCACGATGAGTACTGTGAATCCCTTATCCTTGATCTCCGCCTTGTATCCAAAGTTGCTGATGATCTTTTTCTTTATAGCATCCCTCGTCGCCCATGCTGCCGCAGCAGTCGAGTTCAATTCAAACTCCATTCCTCTGTTCTGCAACCTCTTCACACTCACAAAGCAGACGTCCCCTGGTTTCCCCTCATCCTCGCCACCGACCATTTCTACTGCCATGTTCGCCTTCGCTACTAACTGCTCCTCCGTAAGCATCTCTAAGTCCGGTCCCTTTGCGTCTATGATGATGTGCTTGTTCTTCCTCGTGTTCTGTTCTATGATGCGTTGGTACGAGATCGGCGGGGTGGAACGTGCTGTGTTTGCGTATGATTTCTGTTGCTTCGCTGGTATTATTGCCGGAGTCATCGGCACGTAGTCTTTGTCCATAATCCCATAGTCGTAGTCTTCTATGTTCCCAGTGTTCCCCGTCGTTTTGACCGAGCCCCGTTCAATAGCGTGTTGGAGGATTTCGAATGCGCTCTGAGCCGCATCCCGAACTTTGTTGACTTTCGCTCCCACCATGCCGGCCGTATCCTCCTCGATTGTCCCTAGCTTATCTGTCACTGCCTGGACTCTCTTAGTCTGTTTGTTCAGTGCGGCTATCTGCCCTCCCATTTCCTTCAGCCTAGTGCCCATCTCCTCCATGTGCTCCTCCATCTTATCGGCTACCCTTCCAGTCCCCTTTCTGTATGTCTCGAGTATGAATGCGAAGGTGCGTAGATTTCCTGCCAGCCTCGGTTCCTTGTCCTGTGCAGCTCACAACATTGCCAGCACCAGTTGTTCGATGTTCAGCGGGCCCTCCGTGTTGACTGCGTGTCCCGAGCTAGAAAGATATGACCGTGCTTCATTGACGTTTGTTACCGGTGATGGTAGACTCGCCAGTTCGTCTCTGGTGAGCGGTTCTTTACTCGTCTGTGCCGATGGCGTAGTATTACATCTTCCCCCGTTTGCGTTTATCGCGGCTGATCCAGGTGGACTCAGCACCATTATAGACCTTTGACCCTCTTATGATAGTTCTACTAGTTGTTCAGGGGCTTAAATGCCAGTATGATGAAGCTAGAGCGAGCGTATTCTACTGGCGCCATTTAACACCGACGTGTCGATGGTGGTGGTCGCCTGAGAAGAGAGTCTGGTTGTTAGTTAGTCCTGTGAGTCCTCTTTCTCCTTGCCTGCTGAATGTTACTGATACCGCCCGAAGACCAACACCTTCAAAGGGCTGTTACAGGCAACCAAAACTTCTTTCCAAGCTGACACCAACAACGACAATTAGGCCATTTACAAGCAACGTGCATGGTTGTTCACTGCTTATAAGGTGGCTGCCGGCATCAAGGATGGAGGCATGCTGGCTTCAGCATCATCCCGTAATAATGTGGGCACCGTGTTTGAAATGAACTCTCAAGAATTTGATAATATCCAGGACAAAACGTTGGGGTATGCCTTTGCAGTCCCTTTGATTGACCCTGTGCTCACAAGTCACATCAGAAACCTGCCCCCAATTCAAGCTGCCATCAGACACTACATAACTCGTCCCTTGCTATCCACACTCTTCGAGAACAACTTCTGATATGGCTGGGCCATGTATGCTATAAGATAGACAGATTATGTACACTGTGATCATGCATGAATATATCCATTTGCACTCTCTACAATCTGTGAGTCTCCGAACGCAACACACTTCTCCACGCCTTTCCCATCGCCGAGTCAGGGTGCTGCAAGAAGGTGTTGGGCATCTGTGATGGACCGGCCATTTCACTAGTTCACCGCAAGCATAAGGATAGAACCAAGGTCAGACATAAGAACTGAAGAAGAATCATGGCAACTCTCGTACCTTTGTAGGTCAGGACCGCATTGTTCTTCGCCGCGATGTAATCAGCCAAGTTGTGGTCGAGGATGAGATGCAAGAGTCAATTGATCAGTGTCAAATCAATCTTCTCGTACACCTTCGACAGCATGATCTCCATCATCACAACGTACTTGCCCTCGCTCGTCTCCCAAATATCCATAAGGTTGTTGATTCCCTGGCATCACTGGTACGCCAACAGCGGCGGCAGCGGTTCCACATGGGCTGGCTTGATCCATGTGATCTCTCAGTAGTCACAAAGCAGTGTGATTATTGAGAACTAAGTGTATATCTGACTGAAGTACCTAAAAGTGAGGCTGAAATAGTTGAGGATCGGAACCTCATTATTCTCACCTACTCTGACTGTATCAAGCCATACCTACCCTACCCAAAAACAACCCTAGTAACAACTTATTTGACCTGAATCTATATCCCCCTTCAAACTTGCACTACGGACAGTGTTGACACTATATTTACCCTGATAGTGTCACTCTTTCTGCTCTGACAGCGGGCATATCAATAGGTGGAGGGAGAATGTACAACTGCGAGAATGGTTCTGTTGCACGAGGCTCCAGGGTGCAAACAGGCAAAGAAGACTTCATGCGCTTGTAAGCCTCTTACGGACGTGTTCTGCAGGCGCAGAGGGGTGCAGTTAACTGCGTAAGTTGACTGTGAGAATACCACTGCACTTACAAAAGTGTACTCCCTGAAGTGTACTTACCTACAGTCTTAGTCTGGAATGAAGTAGCTACAACAGTTGTAAGTGTGGGATGGAAGTACAGTACATTTACGGTGCATGCTACAGGAGTACACTACACACCATGGAAGTATACTACAGTGTGAGACTTTGAATGATGTATATTGAAAAGTGTGGCATATAAACAAAGGAATCTCTATCATTAGGTCAGCCGGTGTATAAGAATTCCGACATGGAGAAAATCCTGAATAGAGAGATTTGATTTTGATAGCACTTTTTACCCATCAAAATTGAGACTTTGAATCTTATAATAAACTTATAATTTTAATCCAAAATGTTCTGATCTCAAAAATGTTGAGGTTGGTGATGGATCAGTCTAGGGTGGTTATCATCCACTCATCCCCTCGACCACTGCTTTTCTGGCTGCTCTAATCATCCTTTGATGCTGGTCTCCTGGCTACATGTCTCCCATCTGTTCACAATCCATTGGTATTGGTTGGCATCAGTTGGTTAACCACACAACTGATGCAACTGATCCAGTTGATTGCTCAGATCACTAATCCCAACTGTTCATCACCACATGCTTGATCCCTATCTCCATAGCTTCGATATCTCCCTTTGTTACTTGTTACCATAGCTTCCATCATAGCTAGATGTATTTAGGGAGCAGAGATGGAGCCCAGAGTCCTCAGACTTCGACTCACAGCTTCATTGCCTTGCTCTCAGGTCTGTCCCTAGTTGTATCTCAATAGACTTCGACTCACAGCTCCATTCCCTGGCTCCCAGCTTGGACAGACTCTTCTTCGTGCCTGGGACCTCCTACACGCACCCCACACCCTTCTACACCTCCACAACTCGGCTCACTTTGCCCTCCTTGCATCATCATCACCACCATATCTCACCTACTTCACCTATCTCCACTTCACTCCACCATCAGGACACCATGTCCTCATCTAAAGAGCTCACCTCCTCTCGTCGAGTTACGCCCCTGAACGATGTCAACTATGCCCAATGGGTGAAGGAGATGCGGGCCTACTTGACATCGACTCCATTATCGGATATTCTCAGCAGCTGGACATCCGGACCAGCGTAAAGGTGTTCACGTTACCGGATTTCGATTGGAGCCACATGAAAAACAATTGGTGTCTCTTGAATATGGTCCCCCCAGGTACTCGTCGACCCTGTCCTGTGCCCACGCACACGATCCTGAACATGCTCCTTGGCACGTTCGGTTCTTAGGGCAAGATAGTCATTCTGTTTCTGCGCCTGTGGTCCGCGAGCGCGAAGCTAGGGGACAGGTGAATTCCCACTGCGATAGTGGAGCAATTCTACAACCTCGTGCTAGCCCTGTAGCTTCAGGAGCTGAACAAAGGGCAGGTGCACACCCTGGCCACGTACAGTGCAGCATTGGCCAATCAAAGAGACGAGGGAGGATGGCTCCACTGGCACAGCATCAATGTCCCCGCCGATCGGATGAAGGATTTCAGGGACATGCTCAAAGCGTGAGCAAACAGCCTGGAGCGGATGGTGTTCCACGACCTGTGGTTCATGTTCGAGGTGAAAGGGTCCAAAGATGAATTCATGCACGAGCTACAAGAAACAGAAATAGCGGCCAAGTTTATGGAAGCGACGAGCTGGATCAGAGCGGACACAAAGGCGAATGACTAGTGGTGGATGGACATTGGGGTGGAGATGTACTGCCCAGGGCACTGCCTGAAGATCCTTACCAGCAAGCACGGTGAAATCCTCCAGTGCATATTTCCGGAGCTGACGACATGGACGTAAAGAGGGAAGGTGAAGGAGGCCTTGGACCATCCTCAATTCATCAGGGATTACACCGGACGGCAGGCATTTCATCACATTCCGCACAAAAGCATGCCTGCTGATCTTGGAGTACCTGGCAGACCTGCCGGGGAAGATTCAACGTTGGGTGGCAACCATCGCGCTTGGAGCGCAACTGATATGGCTATTAAACTTGACACTCCGCACTGGGTGGCAGGGAAACATCATTCAAGAAATGTTGGCTTTTAGCTCATGGCAAATGGAAGGTGCGGACCATGAGCTGGCGCCCCTTCACCTGACACACAGGCTGTGGTTCCTATGCAGCATCCGCTGGGAGCAAAACAGCGATGCACAAGTTGCTCGTATGCCAACTAAAGCCTTGCACTACGCGCCTGGGGACATGGCCAAGCTGTTCAGAGAAAAGCACATGTCCTTCGAGTAGAGCTGGATGTATCCGGCGATGATACCACAGGAGCGACGAGAACGGATAGAGAAATCCAACTTTGGGAGGGCCAAGAACAAAGTACACACCGAAGATGTGAGAAGTGTGCAGAGGACAGAGCCGCCTCTGTCGGCAGTAGGTTTCCAGGCAGAAGAACAGAGTGTTAAGGTCCGGCCTCCGGTTGCCATACGGCTGGAACTGGGGGAGAAGTTCATCAAACTTCCGGAGGAGATCGAGGAAGCATTGCCGCCCTCAGAACCCATAGGACTGAACGAGACAATGGAGAAGATATCGCAGCAGCTGGCATCGGACATCATCCAAAAGATACCCAACCACCAAAACCTTCACAACGGAAGCTATACGATCATGCCTGAAGCGGAGAGAGGAAATGCCAACTGGTTGTGGTTTCAGACGCTGGACCTTTCGTGCCTGTTCTCTGTCATACTGGTGAAGAAGGTTGAGAGGAAGGCGTGGGAGACAGCAGTTGCTAATATACCGCTATGCCAATGCTACCATTGTATGCACTCACTCATAATCCTAAACCCTAAGGCGGAGTAGCGCCTGCTGTCTGGCTTGCCTATCAGTAAGATCGGGCGGGAAGGTTGAAAAGAGTTGCAATGCACTGTCTCGCCAGCAAACAGAAGTGGATCGTCGAGCCAATCCGGCATCGGATTGGTCCGGCCTGATGTGCTAGGGATCACAGGGTTTGCTGGGGCGTTTCTGGGGTGGCGGGATGTGGAGGGACCAGCCTGAGACCTGTGGTATTCCTCCAGCTCTGTGGCGAGCCGGAGAAGGGTCTCTAGAGGGAGATTTTCGAGATCTTGTGGGATGCCCATTGACGAGGACATGGCGATGAAGAACTAGAGAAACCCAATGGAGGGCCCTTAGGCAACAACCTCACGTGACTGGCCGGATTGTCAGCTGTAACATTACCGAACTTGCAGTGGATTAGCCAGACATTCTAAGGATGTATTAGCGCGCGCTAGCCTTCGTATGTATATTTTAGTTACAAAAAATGTTGCATAAGCGGCATCAGGTAATACGGTATCTACGGCATTGCCTAAGGCTCAGCCCTTTGGCGCGTTTACCTCCAAGCGCCCCGTAGCATCGGAATGAGCTTGTTGTACCGCTCTGTGAGATCGTCATGCAGGGTGATGAGAGTTTTTGCCAAAGGACTCTTCAGCTGTTCATGGATATCGATGAGCTCGGTGAGGAGCGTCATTTGGTCTTGGAGGTTCTGCAAGATGACCGGGGGTGATCAGGATGCCTCGGATATGGTGTGGGTGACGCACTCGCTGCCGCAAGCATCTCGGACGCAGAACGTGCATGGCCCATCAGTGGACTTTCCCTCGCACTGATAGCGCATTTCACGACATCGCTTGCAGATCGGACGTTGTATCCGATTCTATTACCCTAGTTAGCAAGCGCAGTAAGGGGAGGTGGGAGCGAGAAGGCACACCGATTCCAGGAGCCACCAGGTGTACTAGATCTTCTCTTGTAGCGACCGTTCCATTGGTTTCCTCTGCCTTTTCTATGGGATAGCAGTCAGTCAATGCCCTGGACAATCGGAATGAATCAATGTGCACCTGTCTGATCCTCTTCGACCGCCTCGTTGAAGACAGCTCCTCATCCGCCTTTCGCTTGCTGGATGTGACTGTCTCTCGGAGTGTTCGTCCCGTGACACTCCCTGTTTCCGGGCTCATTCTGATCAATATCAACATCGGTATGAAAATGTTCATTAGAATTCATAGTATGTACACGGGCGGCATCAATATCAACATCGGTATAAAAACATTCATTAGATTTTGTAGTGTGTACGTGGGCAGCAGCGCATCTTGGGAGTGGGTTAGGCGATGGCAACGGTAACAACGCTGTAGTTCAACGAAGCTGGTTAGCGCTCTGTCGAATCTGCGCCAAGTTGTCGTTCAACTTGGCAACATCCGTGGTGGGCGTCCGCAACTTCTCAGCCTGCTCGCCGCACACGTGGAATAGTAACAGGGTAGGAGGCTGTCTGATGCGCTGTAGCGAGCTTAGAGCAAGGAAATGGAGCTGTTAGTCGAAGTCTATTGAGATACAACTAGGGACAGACCTGGGAGCAAGGAAATGGAGCTGTGGGTCGAAGTCTGAGGACTCTGGGCTCCATCCCTGCTCCCTAAATACATCTAGCTATAATGGAAGCTATGGTAACAAGTAACAAAGGGAGATATCGAAGCTATGGAGATAGGGATCAAGCATGTGGAGATGGACAGTTGGAATCAGTGATCTGAGCAACCAACTGACTGTTGGACCGGTTGCATCAGTCGTGTGGTCAACCAACCGATGCCAACTGAGGTGAACAGATGGGAGACACGTAGCCAGGAGACCAGCATCAAAGGATGATCAGAGCAGCCAGAAAAGCGGTGACCAAGGGGAATGATGGATGGTAACCACCTAGACTGATCCATCACCATCCTCAACACTCCCACCTGATGGAGAAGTCAATCCCATCATCCTGGCGCACTCTGTGGACCTTGGCA